TAATATATTATTATATAATAATATAAGCAGAGTCTTTCATTTTACTTGTATGCAAAATCAACGCCCATGGAAGAAGCATTCAGGAAATCAAACAATATATTGCATTGAGCAAATCTGCTGAAAAAGACCTCTTTAAAGTGTTAAAAGCAAAGATGTCACTTTGAGGACTAAAGTGCACCTCATCTAAGCTATAGTATTTTCATTCACCTGATATACATGTGAAAGCTGGACAATAGAAAAGGAAGACCAAAGAAGAATGGATATATTGGAATTATGGTGTTGGTGAAGAATAGTAAATATACCATATACTGCCAGAAGAGTGAACAAATCTGGCTTGGAAGAAGTAAAGGAAGAATGCTCCTTGGAAGAGAGGATGGTGAGACTCTAGGCTCACATACTTTGGACATGTTATCAGGAAGAACCAGTTCCTGAAGAAGGACATCATGTTTGGTAAACTAGAGGGTCAGCTAAAAAGAGGAAGACCTTCAACAAGATGAACTGACAACAATGACTGCAATGATTTTGAGGATGGTGCAGAACCACAGTGTTTCATTGTTTTACATATGGTTGCTATGAGTTGTAACCAAGTTGACGTAACCTAACAACAAGAAGCAGGGTTTTAGCTTCATAGCTATTGAAAAATAAAATGTTTCACATATCCTTAAAAAAAAATAGAAAATAACCTCTTTATGATTAGAGACAGTCAGGAAGGAGGAAGGAAGGAGTTTAGCCCCAAGGGCAGGGCTAAGTCTGTATTGCTCAGTGAACAAATCTCAGCAAATAGCAAAGTCCCTGGCACAGAGTAGGCACCAAATAATGTTTAAGTGAATGAATGAATGAATGAGAGTATGCTGTTCACTCTTGTATTGAGATGCTAACTAACTTTTCTACATGAAGTAACTATGAAAATCACAGGGTTTTTTTATAATGTTCACTAGATTGTAAACTCCATGAGGACAGAGAATATGTATTTGTTCATTATTTGAAACTCGGTGCCTCCTACCATAGTGCCTATCACGTTAGACACTCAAATATTCGTTGGTGATTGAATAGATTAATAAATTCTAATGTGAAGTCATATGCTTTCCACCTATACTAGGAGAAATTCTACTCCAAAATAATGTTCAGTATGAGTCAGAAAAAAACAGATTTCATGTGATTTAAGACCAGGATTCTATAATAGCAATACAATATATCTATATTTTCTGTTATATTTTTCCTAAAAGGGACCTGTTGGTTTACCTGGAGAAGTTGGGATGACAGGAAGCACTGGGGAAAAGGTAATTTATTTTATTATTCTATTTAATAGTATGAGTTCTAGACTAAACTCAAAGGAGAGACATTTATATGACATTTTCTATTGTGTAGAATATATATAACATAAAATTTGCCATTTTAAGCACTATTTAGTGTACAATTCAATGGCACCAATTGCATTAACAGTGTTGTATAACCATCACCACTATTTCTAAAACTTTTCATCACCCCAAATAGAAACCCTGTACCCATTAAACAATAACTCCCTACTCCCAGTCCCTTGAAACTCAAATCTACTACCTATCTCTGAATTTGCCTATTTTCTATATTTCATTTAAGTAGAATCATACTTTTCTTTGTTTCTGATTTATTTTATTAGAATAATGTTTTCAAGTTTAATCTATGTTGTAGAATGTATCAAAATTTCATTTACTTTTATGGCTGAATAGTAGTATATTGGATTGATATTGATATACCATATCTTCTATATTCATTTGTTTATTGATGAGCACTTAGATTGTTTCCACTTTTGGCTATTGTAAGTAATGCTGCTACAGACATTCACATAAAATATCTATTAAAGTCCTATTTTCATTTATTTTGAGTATCTACATAGGACAGGAATTTCTGGGTAATATGGTAATTCTATGTATAACTTATTGAGGAACTTCCAAACTGCTTTCCACTGTGGCTGCACCATTTTAAATTCCAACCAGCAATATACAAATACTCAGTTCCCCTACATTCTTGCCAACACTCTTTGTTTTCCTTTATTAAAAAAATTATAATTATTATAGGTATCCCACTAGGTGCAGGTGTGAAGTGGTGTCTTATTGTGGTTTTTACCTGAATTTCCCACATAACCAATAATGAGCATATTTTCATGTTTTGTTGGCTGTTTGTATATCTTCTTTGAAGAAATGGTCTATTCCAGTTCTTTGGCCATTTTTTGATGGAGGTGTTTGCCTTTTTTTGTTGTTCAGTATAGGCGTTCTTTATATTTTCTGAATACTAATCACTTACCTGATACATAATTTGCAAATATTTCCTCCCATTTTTTGAGTTTTTCCACTCTCTTGATGCACAAAAAGTTTTTAGTTTTGATGAAGTTCAATTTATCTGTCGTTTTTTTTTTTTTTTTTTTTTTTTTTTTTTTTTTTTCCTTTGCTTCTGTGGTATATTTAAGAAACCATTGCCAAATCCAAGGCCATGAAAATTTGCCTTTATATTTATCTGGACATATTTAATTTCTCCGTCCTTAAGGATACTTTTGCCAGATACAGTATTTTTGTTTGACTTTTTTTTTTTCTTTCAGGACTTCAAATATGTCATCCCACTGCCTTCTGACCTCTATGGTTTCTGAGGAGAAATCAGCTGTTAATCTTATTGAGCACCTCTTATATGTGACAAGTCATTTCTCTCTTACTACATTGAAGATTCTTTTTCTTTCACTTTCCAATATTTGATTGCAGTGTATCTCAATATGGTTATGTCTTTCATTGAATTTGGGAAGTTTGGGGCATTATTTACATATATAGAGAAATATATGTATATATATATATCCTTTTTTGTTTTCTCGTCTCGGACTTCCATGATATATATTGTTGGTATATTTGATAGTGTCCCACAGGTTTCTCGGTTTCCACTTATTTTTCTTCATTTTTTTTTCCCTGCTTTTCAAGATGCATACTTTCAAGGGCCTTATATTTAAATTCACTGATTTCTTTCTACCATTTAACACTTTAGTGTTTCATTTTGTTTTTAAATTTCATCTATTGTACTTTTCTGCTCCAGAAATTCCAGTTGGTTTCCTTATACAGTTTATATCTCTTTATTGACATTCCTTATTTGTTCATACATCTTTCTCCTGCATTCCTTTAGTTCATTTTCTATGATTTCCCTTACTACATTGAGCATATTTTGAGTCAGTTTTGACATCTTTGACTAGTAATTGTCATTTTGGAGCTTCCTCAGGGATAGTTCTGTTAAGTTCTTTTTTACCTGTGAATGAGCCATATATTCTTGTTTCTTTCTTTGCTTGTAATATTTAATGAAAACTGGGCATTTTGAGTATTATAATGTGGTAATTCTTGAAATCAGATTGTCTCCTTCCTTAGGGCTATTTTTGTTGCTTGTTGAAGGCTGTGGTTACCTATTTGCATTGTGACTTTTCTAAACTATTATCACAATCTCCGATAGATTCTTTGTGTGTGGTCACTGAAGTTTCTGTTCAGTTATCTCTCTAGTCAGACTGCAACCTGACAGAAATTTCTTAAATATCTGGACTTAGAGGGTGAAAAAAAAATCTTTTTAAGTTTTCCTGTAAATGCTGCCAGAGAAAGCACTTTAGCATGAAGGGGCCAACACAAAGGCAACCATCTGTACTTGTCCCTCAGGGAATTATCAGAATGACCAAAACAATAACCCCGTTGGAGGACAAAGTCCTTACTGCCTACCCTGGCTCCACTCAGGCACTCTAAGAACATGGGCTACCATTCCCATGAGTGCAACAGGGATGAGTAATGGAGCTGGTTCATACATTTCACTCTCTCAACAAAGTTCAGCAGCCTCTCCCTTCATCAAGTATCCCATGGGTTGCTGTGAGTGGCTGATCATTTTCCAAAATAAAAAATAGTTGATTCTGATCATTGTTTGTAGTTCAGTATTGTTTTGGTAGACAGACTAACAGCTAAAATTTCCTACTCAGCCATTTTCCATGATGCTACTTCCTCATATGCTCTTTTATGTTAATTACAAGTCACTCAAAACTTTTAACATTTTACCCATACTGCATCTTTTAAATATATTGAATTATCATTAATAGCACATATATTTCTATTTTCTAAAAGGAAGAGTACCTTTTATATTCTTAAAAATTGTGACTTTTAAGAGAAAAGATGAAACTGGCAATCTAAGTTTATGACTGGAAAATATTATTTAAATCTGCTTTATGAGAGCAGACTCCTATAGGAAACATTTTTTAAGGGGAAGAATAATTTATCACTTTTCCTGATCCAAGTCATAATCTCTTTACTTCTATTTGGAATCCAGTAGGCAGTTATTCTTGGGTAAATCTGGATATTATCATGGAAATTGTAATTTGGTTAAATATTACATAGAAATCATCACCTCAAGAGAGATTTTCCATGTTGAGATTTTTTTTTTAACTAAAAAGTAATTATTGGAACCAGCAAGGGTATATTTTGATTTTTTATTTAAATGGAATCTTTGTAATGAACAAGTGGGTAATAAACCATAAAGTTTGGACCTTTGACTGAAACCGGGCTTGCTGAATATAAATTGTAAGCATGATAGTCCGGCACACTTACTACAAAAGGCTACTCATTGCAAATACAGTCATGTACCACATAACATCCATTTGGACCACATCCAGCTGCATATATGTCCATGGTCCCATAATGTTACAACAAGATTTCAGAAATCCACATCAGAGAATGGGATATAATGAATGCAACAGCTTCCCCCATTCAACACTTGTATCTCACATCTCTTGTATATAAAATGATTGTGCTGCCAAGCATATAATGGTACACTATATGTATAACCTATAATATATATTTTTTGATAATCATAATAAACACCTATGTTACTGGCCTATATATGTACCGCATTTTACTTTCTATCTAAAAGGTTTACTGTATAATAGAGAATGCTTTGACTTTTAGACAGCAGCATCCAAGCTCACATATAACATATCTCTTGACTGTTCTAAGAGTTCTGGTAGTATAGTGGTGCTCTGGTTACCTAGTGCCAAGAATATACCAAAAATGGGATAGCTGAGCAAACAGGAGTTTATTCTCTAACAGTTCAAGAGGCTAGAAGTCCAAGTTCAAAGTGCCAGGCTCTAGGGGCTGTGTGAAAGACCCTAGACCTTGGGTTCCAGCTCTTCTTCTTACTTCCAGCCCACTGAAGCTAGAGGCATCTCTTCACTCAGGCAGCTACTAGCTGCTGAGGCTAACAAGCCCAAGGTCAACAAATAAAATGGCACAGTCCCAGTATTACGATACCACACAGCAAGCCATTAACTCAGGTTCATTGTAAGTCTCAAGGTCAGCAGAGTATGATAGGCTGCTGAACAATCACACAGCTACATGCAAGGTAAGCGTGCCATATGCTAGAGACCATTCACAAAGAAGCAGACCACATACCCAAAACAGCTACTCAGCTGCTCCAATAGATTGTACCATGGAGTTGATTACCAGTCTGGGGAATAACTACATTCAGCTGCCCAGCTACTCAACCAGGCCCAGCCAAGATGACATACAAATTTAACTACCACAATTCCACCCCTTGTCAACTTGGTACCTGTACAGATCTTCATTGGGTGGCATATGTACAGATCTCCTTCACTGGGTGGCTCTAATCCCCTAGTTCTTGAGTAGTGACCTCACCCCCTTGGCCTGGCAGGCCCTGTTCGTCTCCCTCTTGGGCATGGCAGCCCTGCCCCCTCATTCTTGGGCAGCAGCTATGGCTCCATTCCACTGGCCCACATGAACAAGAAGCCCCACACTCCCGAACCAAGTTGGTGATGATCTAACTCTTTGAAACCTGTGGGCCCATGGTGGTTCCACCCCCAAAGGCCATGGTCCTACCCTTTGAGGCTGAGGCAGCTCTGCTTCCCTTTTCCTTAGTCTCTCCACTTCTGCTGCTTAATGCCCTAGGGCAACCCACTCCGCTGGAAATCTTTAGGACTAAAGGACACTTAGCTTTCTTGCTTTGTGGGTCTGGCCAACCTGCTACTCCATTTTATTCTGGTCTCTTCACCAATTAATGACTGAAGGCAACTCACTCCTCCAGGAAACCACCTACCCAATGGCACCTGGCTTTCTCCTCCATGAGCTGGTAAGCCTGTTGCTGTTTAATGCCAGTCTCTGTGCTCTGCTACTGCCATCTTTCATGCTGATCTCTCTGCTGGTATCTCTCCGCCAGTCTCTTGGCTCTGCTCCTGCCATCTCTCATTCCATATGCCAGGGTCTCTCTGCCAGGGTCTCAGGTCGAGGAC